ATGGTAAAGTGGTTTAGGGAATTTGGGAAACACTCCCAAGAACAACCAAAATTACATTCCCAAATGCTGGTTTAGGAAAGATACTTCACAGAGGTGCAGGCGGGAGAGCTGGTCTTTCCTGGAGAAAAGGGGTGGGGCACTGAACAAAGCTACCCAAACAGGAAGGCCAGTGGTGAGGTGTGGGGTTCCTTCTGGATGCTCCGGGGTGAGGACCGACAGAGCCAGTGCCATGGTACAGGCGCCAGGGTTGGATGTGATAGGGGAGCTGAAATGTGTATCAGGAAGGCCAGAAGCCTTCCGGAGACCAGAGAAAACACAGCAAGCTTTCCCTGGAAATTCCAGCACATTCTGCGCAGAGGGCAAGGTGAAGGGCACAAGGTCCACTGCTCCTCATTCTCCAACGCTCCCATTCTCCCTCCCTAGGATGACCTTTAAGAGAAGCGCTCCACCTCACCTGGCCTCCTCTCAGGCTTAGAGCGATGGGATGTAGAGAAGAAACATAGTTGCCCGTAAATATTCACAAAATGCTTTAGGATCTCCACGGGAGGCTGCTGCCTAAGTAAGACTGGTTCTTAGCATCCTTAGAAACGGAAAGGAGACATCTAAAATAGACCACCTTCATAAAAAATGACACCGGAGCTCTCTTTCCATACTGCCAAGAAATATTAAGTGAAAAAAAAAGCAAGGTTCCAAATAGCACGGATAGTATGCTACCACGTGTGTGAAAGGGAAGGGGATAATCGTGATGAATTTGCTAATGGCTGTATATAATGTCCTGGCTGTGCATGGAACACCCCTGGAGGAGAAGAAATCAGTATCGCTGATCGTCTCTTAAGGAAACAGAAGTAGGTAGCAGGAGTCAGGGGTGGATGGAGATGTGTTTACTGTCTCGCCTTTTGTGCCTTTCGAACGTTTTCGTTCATCGTATATATGCTTTACCCATTTTTAAAAATTTGAGTAAAAACATTAAAAATGTGTTCAATGTAAAGGAAAAACAAAACAGTCCTTAGGCAGCAAACGGAATGCACAGCTGTTTTCCTAGTGCATACCAGATGCTCTGTTTGTTGAACTTAATGAACCTCTGCTTAAAGGCAACAAAAGAAAATCAGAAACAGGGCAAACCCAAGGTATCGATGTTCCAGTTCTCTAGTAAGCTCTTCACCTGTCTGCTACTTCACTGTTACAAAAGATGGGAGGGCGCCTGGGTGGCTCAGATGGTTAAACGTCTGCCTTCGGCTCAGGTCATGATCCCAGAGTCCTGGGATCGGGTCCCGCATCGGGCTCCCTGCTCCTTGGGAGCCTGCTTCTCCCTTTGCCTCTCTCTTTCTCTCTGTCTCTCATGAATAAATAAATAAAATCTTAAAAAAAAAAAAAAAAGATGGGAAGAGGAGGCTTTGCAAATGGGGTCCAGTGCCCAAGCTTCATGGATAACGACAGGCCTGATCACCTGGCCATACCAGCCATTTTATAAAAAGAAAATGTTTAATCCCAAAAACATGATGCCCTGGAACCAAGACAACAAAAATAAACATGCAGATATGAAAAATGATCCTTCGGGGAGATGATGTCAGCATGCACACAGTGTCGACACAAAAATAGCAGCACAGGGGTTAAAAATGTCCATGCATGGACAAAGAGATTGGAACACGGAAAGCTGCTATATAAAATTCTCAAGCCAGACCACATCCAGAGGCAACCTGAACCCCTAGGGCTCTGTTCCTGGGGACAGTTTAGTCCAAAATGGAACAGGAAGGCTTCAACACCCCATGCTCGAGTCATCCACACTCTCGAATTGGTCAAGGAGTACTCAAAACCCACACTGCAATAAACACCAGGATACTGCTAGCAGAAGATCATAGCAGAAATTCTGCCACACGAAATTCTATTACTTTGGAAGTCTCCCTGCTAGGGTTTTTCAAAGAATCGGGATTCAGGCAAAAAATAAGACAGATTCCACCCCTGTCTCCCATAGGACCAAAGAAGACTATCTTGTGTTCTGGGCAGAGGGGAACCACTAGACTCTTTGTGGGCTCTGTTGGAGATGACCAGGAGAAAGGTTTAAGTGGAAGAATTAAGGAATAACAGCAAACGAGAAGCCTTTCGCCAAGATGTTATGGAGAAGAAAGCGAGGTAGAGAGAAAGGGGCCCATATTAACACACAAAGAAACTAAAACAATTATTCTAAGATGGCTGAGCTTTATAGAATGTCCGGAAACAAAACCCCAAAACTCAGAATCAACTCTTAAAAAGATTCCAATCAATGAATCTGATAATCTTTGGTACATCCTAGAAAACTCATAAAAACAGAGAAGGGAAAACCAAAGGTGACCGGATTCCTGCCGGCAAATAAAGGTGACAGGTATCTTCCAATTCAAAGGGAACTGGCTGGCAAACCAAGAGAAAGTTTATCAAAACCATGAAGACAATAAAGGAAACGATGCTGAACGGAAAAAAGAGAAGAAAGGGAACTTTTCCAACTACAGGGAGAGGAAAAACTGTTCCATTGTACTTGCCATCCCGTTTATTTCAAGCTCAAGAAGAGAACAGAAAAACCGGTGAAGCTACATTACCAGCAGAAATCAGTCACACACTTGTGTCCCTGCCAGGCAACGCAGCGCTGCTGGTGCTCCCCCTGCTTGAATGACTAAGTAACTTGCTTAAATGCATTTGCCACACGATCCTTGAACTTCCAGAAAGCACTTAATACAGTGGCTCATGAAATCTTAATCTAAAAATGTTCATCCATTTATAATCAAGCTGCATCACACTGACAAATGGGCAGGAGGGCCAAACAGAGGGAACTGATATTTGGAAGGATGCTGTGAAGAATGGTATTATCAGGGACTTTGTTTATCACTCTGAAGGATTTCTTTCCATCTTTTTAAAGAGAATAAGAGAGATTTGTCGCCTAAAAGCAGTGTAATTACAAGGAGAGGACTAACGGAGAAAATGAATGATACGATTTTTTTTAAATGCAGTGTGACTTAGAAAACCCCACAGACATTTATGCGACAATGAAATCTGGAATATGGTTAATGAATTGGGGGCAGGAGACAGGAAAAAAAAATTAGTTCCTGATAGAAAATACTGCGTGGTAGATATGGGAAAAAAAAAAAAAAGGCATAAAAAGGCAACAGAACATCGTATTTCGCAAATCGATAGTGGTTTCTATGTGCCAGGCACTGTTCTAAATGCTTCAGATATAGTAACTCATGTAATCCTCAAAACAACCTTCCAATCTAAGTACCATCATTATTCCTGTTTGATAGATGAGCAAACAGATGCATGGAGAGGTTAGCTAACTTGCCAAAGGTTACAGCTTGTAAGAAGTAAGGCTAGGATTCCAATCCGGGCACTCACACCAAAATCTGTGCTCCTAAACTCTCTGGACCCCTCTAGAATTTATAGACCGAGAGTGCAAGTAAAATACAAGTCATGCACTGGCTAACTCCAGGGTCAACAGACCATCCTTTAGTCAGGGCTCTGCAATGACCAGTCAGCCCTGTGACCTCTGCGGGCCTTAGTTTCCTCACCTGTGCGTTGAAAAGACAGATTAGGTGAGCTCTAACTAAGGGATCATCAGCTCTAAAACGCCCCCAAGTCCATGTGCTGACCATCCACAGTCTATGACCTGGTCTGCTTTCTAACTGGTTATTCAAAGATTAATTCATCCTGAAACAAGCAGCAAGTTATGTTCAGGTTCTTTCTCTGCCTCCTGACCTTCAGAAGATTACTATGTCCTCTCCATTCAGGCAAATGACAGGGAGTAATGAAAGGGGTACTGTATGATTTCTCCTTCGGACTCGACTTAATGCAGTTGTAACGAAACGGCCCTGGAAAAGTTCTGGGCGCAGAGCACATTAACTGTGCCAAACCTACAGTCTCCAAGGCCCCCTCTCTTGAGCCTGTTCTTGGAACCTGCCCTTGGATGTGGTTACTGGAATGCAGGTGAAACTGACCCACTGGAGGAGCGGGGGGAACCAAAAGAAAGGAATTGGGGGAGATCAAGAAATGCAGTCCAGGGTAGTTCTAATTACAGAGTTTCATGATGGCTAAATAAACCTTATTTTCTTGGTATACTCTATTCTCTTTGCTGACACCCACTCTTCAGAGTTGAGACAACAAAATTTTGAGACCACAAAATTCATTATGGTGAATTCAACACCCAGTTCCCAACTAACAGACGCCCAGAAATAGCCTTCTCAAGCTAGGCATTAAAGATCACCCAGAGTGCATCTGTGAGTGGAGAAGGGCCTTACAGGTGGGTCATGCAGCCCTCCTTTGAGAGTCTTTTCTAAGCATCCCTGACAGGTGGCTGTCATCTGGCCTCTGCCTGGACACTTCCAAGGTCGAGGCACCGGCTGCCTCGCTGGGCAGGCAGCGGCTTGCACTGCTGGACAGCTCTCTGTGGGTAAAGCCCACGAAGCGCCTAGAACAGTGTTTGGCGTGGGGCCAAGCTCAATAAGTGCGCCTCCGACTGGGTCAAAAGCTGCCTCCTTACAACTTGAACCTATGGGTCCTTGGTGCTCCCCTGGAGCCCTGAAACACGTAGGTCCCCCGGATACCCGGAGCTGTAATCAGGCCCCTCGGCCCTCTCCGTCCAGGTGCGGATCCCAGACCTCTTATCACCAGGCCTGGGTCGGCAGACCCCCTCCCCAGACCCCAGAGGTCCCAGGAGTGAGCACCGATGGAGGGATGGCCGGCAGGGAGGCCGCAGTCAGGGATGTCCCCATCCTCGGTACCCGAGGTAGGAGGGGACAAAGGGCTTTCAGAAAGGCGTACCCCACCCGCTGCGGTCCAGGCTGCCTCCCTCCCCGCCACTGGGCGAGCCGGCCCTGGGGACCCCTGCGGCGCCAGGTGACAGGCCCGGGAGGATCAGAGGCGCAGGCAGGCGGCGCGATGGGCCGAGCCACGACGGGGACCTCGGGGCTCAGGGGTTTGGCCTGACGGATACCGGGCGCGATCCCGGCTTAGCGGAGTTCGCTCGGCCGTGGCTTTACCTGCGCGTGGTTGACTACCGCGGCCCGGCTTGCCCCCAGCCCGGTTCCTGCAGCTCCGCGACTGCCGGCGGCGCTCATGGAAATGCAGCCGGAACCCCTGGCCAGCACAGCTCCCGCCGCTACCGGCCCCGCCCAAGCAACTGCCGCCACGCCCCTGACGACCGTTTCTGCCACGCCCCGGACACGGAACCCGCCCGCTCATTGGGCGGCCCAGCCGTTGCTCTACGAGCCCCACGAGCTTATTGCACCCGGCTGGTAGCTCATTGGTCAGTGGAGCTGCTCCTCAGAGTGGAGGCGGAACCGTCGGCGAAGAAGCCCTCCACAATTGGTTAGCTTTGACGTCTTTAGCCCGTGGGCTGAGACGCTATTGCATAAGGCCGTCCCGGAGGGGGCGGGGAAAAGGGAGGGGGGCTAAAGGATGGGTCGTGTTTGATGTTGATGGGGGCGGGGTGGGGAGCGGGAGGCAATTGCGGCTGCGAGCTTGTTTTGGGGGCTGGGTAAGGTCAGGTGTCTTGTGAAGTTGAGAGAAGGGAGGCCGATTAGGTAGCTCAGCTGCGGAGGCTGCCGGCTCCACGCCGACCCACTAACACCCGTAGCCCAGAATACAGTGCACAACACCGGTCGTGACCGGGAGAGAGGAGGGGGGATAGTGAGTCACCGAGCCGCATGGAGAGGAAAGGATGTGGAGACAGCAGCCTCTGTATCCTTCCGGCTGGGTTAGGGTGATGGGGACATGCCGGGCAGTGTGGACCACCTGTCACTGTCCCACTGCCCTGCCAGCTCTCAAGATGACCCTAGCCCAGTGGGAGGCAGCTGGAGGAAAGGAGCCTTTAGAGTCAGACCTGTTGACTCAAGACTGGTTGCGTGGTCTTGAGGAAGTCACTTCACCTTTCTGCATGCACCCTGATTTCTTTGGCAACTGGGAATAACAATAGTAGTTGACAAGAAGATTTAAGTAAACCTGGTAAGCACTCAGCAGGCATGTAATCAAGACCGGTTCCCCACACATTCACCTCCATGAGTCCAGGGAACTCGGCCCAGTTCTAAAATTCTATGAGCCTGAAACTGCTTTTGCAGTGGCATGTGCTTTACCAAGAATAGAACACTTGATGACTTGAAATGCAACCCCTTTTAAGGGTGGACAAGGCCACCCTGCCAGAGCACCGTAGGGCTGGAAGAGAGAGAGCAGGGGATGAGGTGGGAGAGGAGCATTTAAGTGAGAGAAGGGAAGTGGTATTTGTAGCAATGTTACATTTTTTCCAGAACATGTCAGGACTATGACAAGGAAAAATGGAACTCTCCTCCTCCTGTTCAGCCTTCCAAGTGTCCAGTGGCTCAAGTTTCATGGAGGATGACCAAATAACCCATAGAAGGGTGATCAGCACTGAGGCAGAAACCACTGCATAAAATCCTTCAGGGACTCCTGAAGCCCAGTCCCCATTCTGAAGGCATGGAAGTCTAGAGTGTGAACACAACTAGCCTCTTTGGCCTGAATTTAGCCTCAGACCCTTTGGGTCTGCCTTTGAGAGAACCCACACCCACGGTGTTCCAGGGTGAAGGAGAAGAAAGAATCCTTTGCCAATGCTGTATTTTTCAGTCAGTTGCCACCTTACCTAAAAAAAAACAAAAAAAAAGTCACCCATCAGTACTAATTTATTCCTCTATATTCTCTTCCAGCTTGGAAAAGAAAAACCCAGGCTTCAGTAGGACCCCCAGGGTTCTGGCTCTTGCATTAACACAGCTTGGGCTACCAGAAAAGAGCTTTAGACCTGTTGCCAGTTGCGTGTGTGTGCAGTACTTGGGCGATGCACAGGGGGGTGGGGGGCACCTGGGCGGCTCAGTCAGTTAAGCTTCGGATTCCTGATTTCGGCTCAGGTCGTGATCTCAGGGTCATGAGGTCTGGCTCTGGGCTGGGCATGGAGCCTGCTTAAAATTCTCTCTTGGTCTCCCTATGCGCCCCTGTCTAAAAAACAAAAATGAACAGAATGAGCCCACTTAAGAACCTTTCTCTAAGGTGATAATTTTTTAAGTCCCTCAGAAGTGGAGATCACAGAATTCAGGGTTTGTTTTCATATACACTTTATTTTTTAAATAGTTTTAGATTCGGGGCGCCTGGCTGGCTCAGTTGGAAGAGCATGCAATTCTTGATCTTGGGGTTGTGTGTTCGAGGCCCACATTGGGTGTAGAGACTAAGTAAATAAAATTAAATAAATAAACAAATAAATAGTTTCAGATTCACAGCACAGTTGGGTAGAAAGTACAGAAAGTTCCCATTTATCCATCCCCCCAACACAGGCAGGATTATTTTTTTTAAGGTTTTATTTATGTCAGAGAGAGAGAGCACGTGAGTGGGAAGAAGGACAGAAGGAAAATGAGAGAATCTCTAACAGACTCTGAGCTGAACACAGAGCGCAAGGTGGGGCTCGATCTCACAACCCTGAGATCATGACCTGAGCTGAAATCAAGAGTCAGATGCTCAACCAACTGAACCACCCAGGTGCCCAGGATTATTATTTTTTTAAAGATTTATTTACTTATTTGAGAGTGTGTGAGCATGCACGTACAAGTGGGGGGAGAGGGAGAGAGAGAATCTCAAGCAGACTCCCCGTTGAGTGTGGAGCAGATATGGGGCTCAATCCCACAACCCCAAGATCATGACCTGAGCCAAAACCGAGAGTCAGACGCTCAACCAACTGAGCTACCCAGATGCGCCACAGGCAGGATTTTCTTACTAGCAATATCTACCAGCTGGTGAAACTTTTCCTTTAGAATATCCTTACTAAAAGGGGGTTCCCAGGACTGAGTTAAGGTTTTTGAGACTAGACCTCATCACCATCACCATAATCAGTGAGAGGGAAGTCGAAAGGATGTGGCTGAAAAAACAGTGCTAAAAACTGCAGCCTGGATGCTCATGAAATTTTTCAGAGGGCCTGAGAGCACTCGCTCTCAGGAGTCAAAGATTGCTACATTCTTGTCACACCCAGTGCTGCCTATGTAAAGTCTAGGAAGGGAGGTCAGAGTTCTCCCTGGCCAGACTTCCTGGCTAGCTGCTCATTGATAATGGAGATGAAATTTGTTTGGAAGTTCTAAGTCCCAGTATGCAATAATTGCATGAGGACAAACTATGATGAAATTCAAGGGTTTGGTTTGTTTTGTTATTGGAAAAAGCTTCCCACTGGCTATTTAAAACAGTGATGAATAGCAAGTTTATGTTTTAGGCTGCTTCTTTAAACCTACATGTGAAATTGTCTATAAAAAACGCATAGGGTGATTTTATGCCCAGGAGAGTCTTGGGTTATCCCTCTTGCCCTGGAAAATTTTTAATAGTGCCCCCTTTTCATCTCAAATGGTCTCAGTTTAGATGATAAATGATACGGTAGTACTTACATACATAGGACCTAGCACTGAAAATGCTCATAAAACGCACTCATACACACACAGGTGAAAAGCTGTCCCAGCCTTATAATCAGATACAGAGTATCAGACAGGTGTTTGGCTAAAGATGACTTCTTAGTCACCATGCATTCCTCTTCTTGACGTCATCCTTAATTACAGTAATAAAAATTGAGTTCCTCATGCTATCAACTCAAAAGGAGTCAATAAAACTTGCGCATTAAATAAGTGCATCACACACTCTTTCCTGCATAATTTCATGTTACTGAGCTATTTTAAAACTGTTTACATCCTACCAGAGATCCCTATTTTATTTTTCCATATATGGAATTAATTAATAAGAGAGTAAATATTTTTACTGCACAGGACATAGAATATGAATGAGATAGACAAAACAGTAAGCCAAAGTCCTATCCTCAATATAGGACAAATACTTGAAGAGATACCAAAAAGACTGAGCAGTAAGCAATAGCGCATAATCAACATTGTGAACAATTATGCAGAGGAGGGAACAATTTCTTCTGATTTAGATTCTTAGAGATTTGAACTGGGCCTTGAAATTGGGGTGGGGATGAGATGGCATTCCCAGCAAGTGAGGACAACAGAAACGGAGGCCTCTAAGTGGAAGAATACAAGTTGTTTTGTCTGGAGAAGAGTCCAAGTGGAGAATCAGCAGGAGAGACGATGAAAAGGTAGATAGGGCTCGTGATAGATGGCAGTTAATGCCTCCATCTGAGTTCATGGCTTCATCTCAGCTGCCTGAGTATTTGGACTTCCTAGCACGGTCTATAGCATGCTCCAGGCATCTGCATATCACCTTCATAATTTTGAACTTATCTCTTTATTACCTGGTTATTATTAATAGTTTCATTGAACTCACCCACTTTTTAAATTAAATACTTTCTTCCGCCTCATACTAAATCAGTGGTTCTCAACTGGGGGCAAGTTCACCCCCAACCCGGGACATTGGCAATATCTGGAGGTGTTTTTTGGTTGTCACAACTGAAGAGAGTGCTGCTAGCATTTAGTGGCTAGAGGCCAGGGGTGTTGCTGGACAGGACAGCCCCCACAATGAAGAATCATCTGACCCCAAATGCCAGTAGCGCTGAGGTGAGAAACCCTGCACACCTGAGCAATAATATCTGTGATATTACAGGCTTGATGTGCTGGTTATATTTGATTCTACTTTACATGAAAATAATGTCACAACTATTAAACTTTAAAATGTTCTTCCCTGTGCTACTTGATTCAAACAGATATTTGTACACCCACATTCACTGCAGCACTATAGCACAATAGCCAAAATGTGCAAACAACCCAATTGTCCTTTGACAGATGAATGGATAAACAAAGTGTAACATATGCATACTATGGAATATTGTCCAACCTTCAAAAGGAAGAAAATTCTGACCCACGCTCTACCATGAGTGAAGCTTGAAGACATTACGCTAAGTGAAATAAGCCAGTCGCAAAAGGACAAATGTTGCATGATTCCACTTAGAGGAGGAACCTAGGAGAGTCACATTCATGGGGACAGAAAATAGAATAGTGGCCACCAGGGACTGGGACGGGGGGGGGTGGGGGGTAATGGGTCGTTATGTAAAGGGTACAGAGTTTCTGTTTTGCGGGATGAAAAAGTTCTGGCGTTGGAGGGTGCTGATGGCTACACAGTGATATAAATGTGCTTAATATCACGGACTGTACATTTAAAAGTGGGTGAGAGGGTCAACTTTATATTTTGTATATTCTACCCCGATAAGAAACGTTAAGCTTTTTCTCAAGATCACCTGTGATATATCTCAACCTGCTTTGAAAAACATGAGGCCTAGCTCACAGTAGATGG